CCCTACGTTACACAATTGAGGGCATTTTTTAGGCCATCACAGTATTTGTCAACAATTGTTGTTTGGGGGACTGGGGAGGGTGGTTACTGGCTCATAAACTGTCCCCCCCCCAAAAAAAAGAAAACGAAACCGATCATCCGCGAAAAGAACTATTGAGCTCGAACCAAGGTGACGAATCGAATTATAGGTATGCAGGATGACTAACGATGACACTTTTTGACTTCTTGTGTCAAATAAATTCCATCATCTGGATAGCACGTCAATATTCTATTTGACATTTTACAACAAACGTATACTATTTGGCGCGACTAGCCTCATAAATGTCCTGAAATTAAAACAGTTTCTTCGCAATTAACTTGGACCACGTCATCCCAGCTTATGCACGACAAAAATAAAATAATGCTTCAGGATCACTGGCCTGAATTCCAATGCTTAAAGTTTACTCAAAACCGGTGTGGCACTCTTCGCTACATCTCGTGACGGCCACCATTGTGTTGCATTTTTTCGGTAAGCTATAAGTTAATAAGGAATTGATTGGTGAGTGGGTTGAAAATAGCCCTCATCCTCCACCCTCCCCCTCCTTTTTCTGGAAACATAAGTAACCGAAAGATCTGGCGATGGTTTATCCACCTCCTCTGCCGCCGCGCTGCGAGGCCTCGATTCGTTCGGTATGTGGCTTCCTGAGCGGTCCTCCCCGGAGGCAAGGTGAAAGGTCATGGCCTGTATCAGAAATTTATACGTTGCTGAATATGTTTTATAGTTCTTCCAAGGCCTTGGACACCGTTTTATTATATCGGATAAGCATTGCACTTTCTTGTCAATCAATACATTTAAAGAAAACTTGATCATAATCTTATACTGCGGCAATTGTAGTTCTGCTTACGGTTGCCTCTTTATGATACGGGCCACCACTACCTCCACTGCGCTGGGGCTCTGGCGTTCTACCCCTCCCCGCTACGGACCGGCCCTCGGGCTAGGTGTGTTAGTACTGAGCGCAAACCTGTAGTAGTCACGTGACTTTCATTCACGTAGCGGGAACGGAAGCTATGGGCGATACTAAGGACGGGCTCTGGGGAGGCAACCGGCGCGGAAAAATAGCACGATTGTAGTTTTGGAAGAATATCTGGTGCGGTAAGAGGAATTATACAAAACATAAGTGCTAGGAGCAAACATGTGTTATTCCTCCATACTTTGCGCTACATTTTCTTTCTCGAATGGCCAGCACTTAGCAAAAAATAGCGCAGTTCTAAATTGGTAATATATGTGTACAGTAGCAACTGCGGGTCCCTGTACACACGGCGGCCCCCGGCGTACACAGACGGCAGTGCGTCTCCCCGCCGGTTTCCGGCGTCTGAGCGCAGCTCCAGTGTTGACTCAGGACGGTGCGCTGACACCGGAGGGCGGCCGGGCCGCCGGCCACCGCGGGCGGCTGATGGGCCCTGCGGCGGCCGGGCGGAGGCGGCCGCAGCGGGACGCCGCGCCGGGGACAGGATCACTCTCAGGGCACGTCTGGACGCCGCGGGACGCGAACACACGCCAGCTGCGACTCACTCAAATCAGCGTCTGTGGAGATGTTTAGCAACAGCTATCTATAGCACACAGCACACAATATTTTCGGGAGCATTCCGAACACAGTGCAGTGACACCGAGCACTCCGCACAAATGCATGGCAATACCCGAACGTGCTCGGAGGTGATTCAACAGCAGGATCAGGTGACGTGGCCTGAGCAGCGTGATCGCATGGATGCGCACGAGCCGCGCCATTCAAAGGCGGCACGTGACCCAAAACAAGGGCAGTGCTCGCATAGAATTGAGAACCCCAGTCCAGTCTGTCGAGTCATTCCAACCGCGAACAAACACACGCAGGAAACTATACTGATTGGTCGGCTCCCGTGGTCGGCTCCCGAATGCAGTCGTCCAATGTATCATGTCTATTTTATCTAATTGCCGATAGCTAGTACCGTGACATCAGGACTTGGCGGACACTGGCACTCATCCATTGCAGCAGTCGCGCGCCGTCCCTATCTCAGGCTCAGCGTCGAGCGGCGGCGGCAGCGGCGGCTCACCTCCGTCACCGGCGTCACCAGAAGCTGCAGAGTCGTCAGGGCGCCGCCCGGACCAGCCTAGGCCCGGCTCCATACATCCGTCAGCGGCCGGCAGCCGGCGCGCGGCGCCTCCAATAAAGCCGTGTCGCCGGCGAGCCGCGCGGCGACAGCGACGAGGCCGCCCACCTGTCGCCGCCCGTCGACCGACGTCGCCGACGGCCGGGCAGGTGTCCCGGCGTCGCGCGCGTCGGTGCCGCGCGCGCCGTCGGCGTCGGTCGCAGTCCGAGCCGACGCGACCGACGCCGGAGCGGCCGATACGTCAGCGGCGCGCGGGCGCGTGACGCGCCGCCGTTTTTGCGCGTGGCTGCGTGTCGCGCCGTCCGCCACAATGCGGCGCATTCGTCGCCTGTCTCGGGCCAGTATTGTGCGCGGCCGGCAGTTCTGTCGGACGCGGCGCCGGCCGACGCGCCGGAGGTGTTAACCACTCCAGATAGCCGGCGCGGCGCGGCCGAGCTGCCTCTCAACGAGGCGCCACCACCGCGCAAACAATGGCCCGCTGACCGCGTGCCCCGGTGAAGGGGGCTGGAGCTGCAGTCGGCGGAGGGGCGCCGTTGGAGGACCTCCGGGGTGGCCCACAGATGGGTAGAGAGCGGCCGCTGGCCTTGGCTGGAGTGCCCGAGTGCCTGACGAGTGGCCTGGAGAGCTGAGCGGCTGACCGACCAGCAGCCCCGGCCGGCCCTCCAGCCTCTCCGGCGCGGCGAGGAACAACATTAGCGTCACGCTGACCTCTGCCGAGACGAGCTCGTGAGGAAAGCGGCGCCGCGCACTGTGTACCCACGGCGGCGCCGAGCCTGTTCGGTAGCGTCTGGGAAGTGCACACAATGTTATCTCTCACACTTCACCAACACTCCAGATAAGAGTTGGGAGGACTCTACTGCACAAACGCATCGCGATACCGATACTATCGATAGCTCTAGACGGGCCGAATTTCACCGAGGTCGCTTATCCGAGCGGGAATGACCACTGACCAATGCCCATTGACTATAGCCACTGACCATTCATACACTGACTAGGTGCAGTGGTCAACTCAGTAACCACGAGATGGAGTATTCACCCACGTCCCATTCCCCGCCCAGTTGCAGAGTCGGCCGCTCCGCGTTAGTGTCAGTGCCGGGCAGCCGGCGGCGGCTGGCTCGGATTACGTCTGTGCTCGGCGGCGCGCCGGTGACACGCCGCTATAAATCGGCCGGTCGCGCTGCACTCGGCCGCCCGTCTCGCGGCCGCCGCCGGCTCCGGTGTCACCCCATACGTCAGGCGGCCAACAATGCGCGCCCACTCTCCGGTTACCGCTCGGAAAAAGTCGCTGGACGCCGCGCCGCGGTGGACAGACGACGCCGGGTGTTCGCTCCCAGCAGTATCTCAGCAGAGGACGGAAACAAAAACGCCGTATCAGAGCCGCGCGCTTGATACTGGCGTTTACTCTGGGCATTATTTTCTAAGCCGCCAGGTGACAGTACTCCATGGCGGGCAGATAGCCGCGCTCCGCACGGTAGTGGCTGTGATAAGGTCGGCAGAGCGGGCGGCCTGCCGGCCGGCCAACTGACGCTCCCGGCCACGAATATCGGGTGGCCGTCCACTCGGCGAGGACGGCCGCCCTGCACCTCTGGCGAGCGGGCGCGGCGGTCACGCCCGTACTCAGTAGAATACACACACAGACGCACACGTCTGCAAACGGACGCTCATCGTCGTCACAGTCACACACACAACGGGCTCAGTGCGTGGGCGTGGACCAGTCAGCCAACGACCCCGTCCCCTCCCCTCCCCTCCGGCCGTCCCGTGTGGCCAGCCGAGAGCTGTGGGAGCCTCCGCAGGCGGTGTCACCCGACCCGGGCGTCCAGCGCACGGACAGCGCCGGCCGTGTGTTACTGCCTGCTCATCGGACTCCGACGGCCGCGCTGCCAGCCACAAAGCACCACCATATTTACGAGCTGGCTTATGAGCGCGCCTAACAAGACGTAAAGCGGAGTCATTTGACTTGCAGAAGCGGCGCGCGGTGGTCGCCCGTGACGTGAGACAAGCGCCGCTCGCCGCCCGACACCTAAATAATTCTCCGGCACGACGCGCCAAGGCTGGCGGCGGGTAGGGCGCGGGGCGGACGGCGTGTCGTGTCCCCGCTGGGTCGTCCGCCGCTGCCCCCCGGGGCGACCCCCGGCAGAGAGGAGCAGTGACAGCGCGGCGGGACGGTGAACTATGCGCCGCCCGGTCACGGAGCGCCACCGGCCGCCCGCCTCTTCACAGGTCACGAAACCACACAATGGCCACGACCGGCGGCGGCGAGAGCTACTGAAGAGCGGCTCCGGGAGCCCTCCGAAAGGAACGGCCGCCTCCGAATGATAACAGCCGACGGGGCGCAGTCACGCCACGGAATTCGAGAGGACCAGCCGACTGGAACGTTCGCGCAGCCTTTTCCAGACGTCATCATTTTCACATTCACCTTTATCAATAGCCGCTAATTTAAACCGTCCAAAGAATTGAAATGCGCAATTATAAGATCATCAAGTTGTCATTATCGTATGACTTGCAAGTTGATGTGTTTATCACTAGTTAATACGGTAGATACACTGTCAAGACAATAATAACCATATGCATAATCAATAATAATGCAAACATTAACCGCGAGTGTCAAGAATGAGCTCATATCTCGCTCTCCGATGCCAGAAGTGTCAGCCAGGAGACACTGACAGCTCACTCGACTGTTCCAACATGAGAAATGTACACATTTCACACCTCTCGACCGGCTCTTGTCGGGCCGTGTCGGCGTGGGCGCGGGTCCGGCCGGCCAGAGAGCACTCGTGGTGTGAGTTGTGACAGCGGCAGCGGGCCGTGGGAGCGTCTGAGTGCCCTCCGCCCCCGCCCCCGCCCCGCCCCCGCCGGCGCCGGACGGCGGACACTCACCGATCACCACCAGTCGCATGAGGTGCTGCACGGTGCCGAACCCCGTGATACCGACACACTTGTATGTGCCGCTCTGGTCGACTGTAACTGATTTGATGCGCAGGTATCGCGCGCCGAACCGGAACCCCGGCCACGTCCCGTCCACCTTCTCATCATCCTGCAACGGAAGACAGGAACAGAGAAACAGTCAGTGATAGGATAAAACTGAGGCGGACAGTCGGTGGCAAACAGTGATAGACAAACACAGAGACGGCTGACGGGAAGGCGGTGATACAGACATAAAGACGAATAGTCATAGCCGCACGGACACAAAGACGGACACTTCGCGACAGACGGTGATAGACACAGAGATGAGCCGTCAGCGTCAGGTACAGAGACAGACAGCCGGTAGACAGTGAATGATTCAGACAGGCAACGGCAAACAGTGATGAGCAGATATAGAGACGGACAGTCAGCGGCAAAGGGGCAGAGACGGCCATCAGTAGATCGTAGCACAAACGGCAGTTAACAATGACGGCCAGACGGGAGCAGTTGCTCAGTTTCCGACAGGAAGCGCAGTTGTTGAAGCCTAAGAAGCAGTCGTGCAGACTGCAGGCTGACAACAGTTACATGTTCTGCAGTCATTGTCGCTTGGCTGCATATCCGGCTCACTAGTTAGAAAAATCACTCGCATAACCATATTGGCTATAACATACTCTGTAACTACCCATCTATGCTTCACTGTGGTCAGAGTTGCAGACTGAATCGGTGTTTCTCCGATGAGCACACGCAGCTTGAGCTAATCAACCGTAGCAAACCAACCGACACATCCATAAGCCACGATAGATTCTGGGCAGCACGCTGCAAAAGTACGGCACCAAATATCGAACTACAAGTCTCACAGAGGGCACGGCGTAGCCATAAATGTCGGCAGCGCGGCGCGCCGTACTGGTCGGACCGTAAGCACGGCTGAGCCGCGGCGGAGGCCGCCCTGCCGCGTGTAGTCCATCAGTCATGTTCCCTATTGGACACTCGGAGCGGTGACTCATGCACGCCACTGCACGGCATCGGCCGCATGCAACCGGCGCGCTATTGGTTCGAACTCTATTATTTTATCGCCGGAACAATAAAGCGATCATAAAGCGGTCATTAGCCAGCCGCAGAACACGACACTTGCATTGTACGGCTTCATCATCATCGGCAGTGTGGCACTGATAAAAGTGCAGTTTATGGCTTTTCAGAATTTTCCCACGTTGTCGAACATGATCAGTCCTTTATCGACGACGATTTTGGGAAAATACAACTCCACACAAAACAAAAGTGGCTTTTATGGATCTCAATACACCAGTATTGGGCAGTGCAGACTGCAGAGCATTCGAGTTCCCATACTTTTGGAAGTGAGCTTACATCTAAATTGACTTGTTTGAAAGATAAAGTACAGGGAGCCAATCTATACAGGAGCATCGGAAGTTGCAGCCATTTTTACATGTTCCAGAAGCGTTGTGTGAAACAGGGACGACATTGGCTGTTTTCAGCGAATAACTCTTCTTAATGAGCTCTGTATGACGTCATTTATAAACATGCAGTGCCGTCTGTAACGTGTTTGTTTACCGCACGCGTCAGGGCCAGATTAATACTTTGGCAGCGGCCGATAAATGCGCCACCGAGGCACAGCATACATTCCTGTATGATCGTGAGCCAGTCGCACTCGTGGAACTAGCCACAAGCCAGCCACGGAAGCGGACCTTGCGTCCTGTAGTGGAACCGATATATCATTCTGCAACAAATTTTAGCGGGATGCTTCTTCAGCAATCGGCAACTAAAACACCCTACCTACAAATACACCTACAAGTCAACAGCTAAAGCAAAACAAATAGCCATAATCTCTTCGCATTTCGGAGTTTTTGCTGAACTCGCAATGCTGAGAACTAATTGAAATCGGCGTCACCCACCTTGTACCAGTCGACCATCAGGTGCGAGCCGGACGAGACGGGACACAGCAGCTTCACCGAGTCGCCCACGTTGGCCGGAACCACCTCCTTCACTTCGTCCGGGTTGATCTGCGGCGGACCTGAGACACGGAAACAGACCACAGTCAGATCACGGGGCCTGGTGACTGGTCGAGACGGCGCGGTGTGATGGAGACGTGTACGCAGAATGTTCTAACTTCTAATTAATATTTATGGACGTCATACATGACAAGGAATGAATGGCACGCAAGCGCCGGTTCGAACGAGGAAGCCGTTCCATTATCATCCGATAAGACGCATTTTTCCAGATTGTGTACGGGAAAGCAATATCGGTTTTAATTGCGTTGGACTTCACGGTGAGTCCATTGGTGATAGGTAATTTAATGTCTTGAATTCATCACTTCACACGGGCATTAACCCCACCAGCCACCCTTTACTGTCGGGAGACTGCAGCACTCGCAGCAGAGTGCATCCATCCGACTGAGCGGCGGCGGATGCAGCGGTAACACCCGCCGGACGAGAGAGACACTCGGTCACCGGTTATAACAGGGAGACTGCGACGCGGCACCGGACGCTACCACCGCGGCACGGGGAGGAACGGGGAGGGGTAGAGGTTGCAGACCCGGCAGCCAGCCGACGCGGACAAGGGGGGGGGGGGGGGGCAGGTGTGATGTGCCGTCACTCATCTGCGGGGGACGTGCGGTATAACGTGCGGTGCGACAAAGCCGGCTCGGATTGATTCCCTGATTTGTATGCAATCTTCTTAACCCGCGCCCTGGTGGGGTCTGTTTATAACGCGACCTGGTGGGGGGGGGGCTATTTTTTGCCCCCCCCCCCCCCCCTCGTATCTCCGAAACTACTGGACGGATCCGCAAAATTCAAACGGCGTTCAAAAGGCCTGTCAAATTTGTCGAGGGAAACCAAATTTCATTGACCTCGGGGTCACCGATGACGTCACAGGTCAGGTCAAAGATGAAATGTTTCACCGTTCACGGGTCATCTAGGGAATGCGCTATAACACCGAAGAAAACGCATTTTGTCGAGAATCAGCGATAGGGCGTCAGTTGCCTAGTACATATATTGCTATAAGAGGTCACTGACATTACCAGGTCACAGGTCAGGTCACCAAGGGTCACAGGTCAGGTCACATGAACCTAACTTTAGGTACTAAGGTTGTGCGATGCATGTTTTATGGCCAATTTTTCATTTCCAACTCAATGGTGTTGGTTATAAGACTATCAGGTACGGCTTAGGCCACTTTCTGGTGGAGGTCAGGTCAAGGTCAGGTCAAAAAAGGTCAAATTTCAAAGTTGATATTTTTGCATAAAATTGGTATTGATTCGATGCAGCTCATCACGGGGAGTCTAATGGTGGTCTTTGTTTTGCGCTACGAGGTCTAGAATTGCAAAAAAAATGAGTTTGAAAATTTGACGTCATCAATTTTGAACAGTTTTTTCGCTGTAACTTGGCCAAAAAAAGAGGTATCGATCTCAAATTTGGTATGTACAGGGTGTTTCACTAAAAGTGTCAAAAAGTAATTGCTTATTAAAGATATAGGGGAGAGTGGTGCAGGAGGCCCCCCCTTAAGCTCAGTTGCTATTTTTAGACAACTGATAATATTTAAGAGCTAACGTGTGCATGCGCTGTGAGCATGCATCATTTTCCCATACATATTTGCATTCAAAATGAATCTAGGGGGTACACAAACCGTAAACTTTAACATTTTGGAAAAAGTTGCAAAAGGGCCTCTTACACTATGGGTATGGTAAGACGCCCCCCCCCCCCCTCGGGCGTTTAACAAGGCAAGTCGACTTGTAAAAGACGTTTTGCGAACACAGCTGCAAGGCCTTTTATTTCGAAAAGCTAAGCAAATACGGTGTTATCGAAACCAATAACACTTCCAAAGTGCTCGAACAATGCGAAAACTAGCACAACCAAACGCTGATGACCAACGAAAATTGTACCTATTACCTCTAGAAAAAGAAACAGAAAAAAAGAAACAAAAACAAACTCCTTGAAAAAAGAATGCCACGCCTGCCGCAGGTGCAGGCGTTTTAGCATCGGGGGCGTTTTTTATCGGGGGGGGGGCGTTTTATAATCCTCGAAGGGAGGGCCTCTTAAAAAAATGCAGTGTTTTAACGTCACAATATTTATGGTTTATGAGACATTTGCAGCGCACCAGAACATGGTCTATTCTGAAGCTAACATGTGACAATTTCGATGAGATAAGATTGCATTTGATAGTCATTGTTTTTTCAGATATATAAGGGTGATAAAGATGCATATATCTAGCAAGTAAAGGGGCAAAAACAGAAACAGGCTTACCAAAAGTCGCTGCGACGCACCTGATACCTCAGGTTTCGTGAGTTGTTGTTTCAAGAGGGCTTCTGCTTTACAAGAACATTAAAAAATAAATAACATTATTGGTTTGGTAAAAAAAGCGATGGGGCCTCTTACCGACCCTGGGCGTCTTACACGGATCTCCCCTATAGAATATGCAAATCACGTGGCTGCGCACGTGGCTTTGTTGCAAATTTTTGGACATTTATTATTTATCCATTTAAGATATATTTTACACTCATACGGAGCGAGGGCAGGAGGCCAAAGTTACTAGTCATTTTTTCCATATGCAGAACAAGAACAGGTTATTTACACCGCAACAGGAGGGGTGAATTACACTTATGTACATTTGGTGCCATCAGAAACATTGAAACCGTATGCCGACTTTTCAGGAAACTTTTTTACTCTCTCACCTCGCTACGTTCCAGATTATAAAAGTTTCAAAGGGCTTGTTGAGAGGTTTAAAAGGGTTCCTTCGATGCCGGTTCCAGTCCAAAAAAGGCGGGGTTGCCCCCACCTCTCGGCGGAAACCGTTGAGAAGGTCAGGATCTTTTTGAGGGCCTTTGAAGATAACAAGAAGCTAATTCCAACATCAGAAATAGCCAGGGCCTTACAAGTTATTAAAATCAACCACTGTAACGGCTGTAGCCACCAGGAACTGACTGGGACCAGAAGCTCCTGGGCCGAATAATCAGCTGCCTCGCCGCCCGCCCCTGGCCAGCGCGAAGCCCCGATCTGTCACCGCTAAGCCTCTGGTTTGGTCAGTGACTCAGTAGCTCTCGCAGAGCTGAGGAAGACTCAAGTCGCATCACTTCGGGAGCTGAAGAGCACAGTTCAAGGCTTTGCCGACAGTCTGGACGCTGAAGATGAAAACGGGCTGTGAGGCACCTCCGGACACGTGCCGAAACGGTGCATCAAAAAAAGGGGCAGATGTGTGGAATAGGTTTGAGTGACGGTGATATCGTTTTTATATATTCAAATGTCCAACAATTGCGGATGAGACGATATGCAAATTTCCTTAGAAAACATTGTTATTATGTGCATTATGACCTTTTACTTTTTGACACTTTTAGTGAAACACCCTGTAGATAGAAGGCGGTAAGGACTATCACATATATTCCGGTTTTTTTCGAAATTCAAAAAACTTTTTGGATTTTTCGGCTATTATAATCAAAAAATCTATTTTTTGATTTTTGGGGGTCAAAATCCAAAAATTTCAAAAATCCGAGATAGCAGTTTTGTAGCCCTGTCGATTCTACAGCTTTTATGTCTTTATCGTTTTTCTGTATTTGCAAAGCTATAGGCCTGACAGCTCTTCCCGCGAAACCCTTTTTTGGGTCGAAAACGGCAGAACATGACGTCACTCTGACGTCATTTCCGGCCAACCTATCATAGCCTTTGGATAAATTTTTGGTCACCATGTGTAAAATTGATGTCCGGGAGGGTACTGAAAGTTTGGTGACGATCGACGCAGCGGTTCTGGAGATATATCGAAAAGTCTGGAGGGGGGGCAAAAAATAGCCCCCCCCCACCAGGGCGCGGGTTAATCAAGCTGCAGGAACCGCCGTAACGGTACCCGCACCGCTGAATGCTGAGAAGCTAGAAATACCTGTGAGACATAAGCACTTTTCAGTGATTTACTGCGACATAATATGACTTTTTTGGTACTATCGTGTCTCAATATCGAAGACATATTGATGGATTCCCCAACCGCAAGCCGTATAAACATACATCGACTGCAGGGGATTCGGGAGAGCTGCAGCCGCCTCATCGCTGACGTTAGCACCCACATATTTTACACGTTGCCGAATCAGACAAGACTGCAGCGGACCACCGTGAGCGGCGAGCACCGCCGTCAGCTCGGCAACCGCTTCCGGCTACCGCACTTCGCCTCTGCTTTTACTGTCCGCCGCGTGACACTGGTCCACCCGGCCGTCCGTAAAGTCCCGTTCCTGCAGCACGGCCAGCTGGTGTCGGATTTAGCCGACACTTTCCGGCGTCAGCAGCACCTCAGCGGCCTTGTGTCGGCCGGCCGGTATCCCCCACGGACCACCTCACACCTCGCCGACAATCGCGTTAGGTCGGCTCGAGTGCGCCCGAGCTGACGGCGGAGGGCGGGGCGGGGTGAGAGGGCGGAGCAGTGTGATGCCGGCGCGGCAGACTGGATACAATTGTGACACAACAGCACATGCAGTTGTGACTGCTGATGTCGCCACAGACCAGACTGCCCAATGCCCACTGCATTGGGCAGACGAACGCTTATGATATAATCGCTACCAGGACATGGAACGCTCCAGACCAAGTCGTGTCCTGGGTTAGTGTGAACGTGCGCTCCCCATAGCGATTTTCGCTCGAAGTGATTGAGTGAATTTCTGATACCCAGAAGCACTGTGGATCTGATTTGAATACGACTGAATCACCAAGGCTGTTTGCATAAGCAGCTTGTCGGCCTCATAAGCCGGACTAGTTCCCATACTGGAGCGGGTCCTGTCCGTCAGAGCGGGGCCATAATCCGGCCTCCGTCACCGGGCCAGACCCGCCCGCCCATGTGGTGTCCGGCGCCGCCGCCAGCGCTGTATACCTCTGTGCTGTCCCCGAGCCCACCCAGGCTCCTCAGAACAGCGTCCGACCCGCCCATCCCGTGTCTCTGCGGCGGCGGCGAGCTCGCCCGGCGCCTGCAGCCGCCGCCGTATGCAGGCGAACACATTCAGCCGATCGTATCTGGCGCCAGATCCAGCACCGATGCGCCAGAAGGAGGCGA